AGGGACCTTGAGGAACCCAACAAGGCGCCTGAAACATCGCCTGGAGGAATCAGGGCTGGACTTGCTCCAAAGAGCCAAAGCTGGAAAACGGTCCAAGCTGCGCCCCATAAGTGAGCCGGACCAAAGATTTAGCTGGGAATAATTTCAGAGCCGCTGAAAGGCATCATCTGCCCCCCAACCCCCATTCCCTGGAATCACAAGATGGCTGCTGAACCTCTTTGTGCAACGTAGCTGGGTGTGCCCTTCATCTACCCGAGGCATGAAACACTCCCCCCTCCAGGTATTTAAAGCAGGAAAACTGTACAATGCAAACTTTATTCATGTGCCAGGAATAGTTTTAGGCCTTCTGGCAAACACCATCATTTTGTGGTTTGAGTAATTCATCTCCAGCTGAGGGTCTTGACAACTTTGAGCCTGGGCTGGCAATGCCTCCTAGGGCCAGTGGGGATCCCAGAGAGGATCGCAGCGTCGTCAGCACAAAGAAAGGTAGAAAAGCCCCTCAGCCAGCTTGGGAGGACGGGGATCCGGTCTATGCAACTCTCCAAATGATCAATGATCTTCAATGTCACCGCCTAGATCAATGTTTCTCAAACTCAGCCATTTGGACTTCAGTGTGGACTTCAACTCCCAGAATTCCCCCTCAGTCCCAGAAACCCATGGGGTCTCCCCACCCTGGCCCCACCCCTTGCCCTGCTGATGCTGCTTGGGACTTCCTGTTGCCACCACCCATGGGGGCGTGGCTCACCTGGATCCTCCCCCTAACCTCAGTCTGTGTGTGGTGGGTCCAGTAGCCTGTAGAGCCCTTCTGGTGACTCAGAGATAAACAGAGAAAATTATGTCAATTTCTGTCATGCAAACTCTGGAGAAAAAAGTTTCCAGCCTCAAATTCACAGGCAGAAACAACACCAACTTTTACGGAAAACTATAAAAAAAGAACACATAAAATCACTTTTAAAGGTCAAAAGACAAGCATGGAAGAGACAGACTCCAGGGCTGCCCAATTAACAGGAAAACAGCCGCTTCTAAGTTGGTTGAAAGAATCAAAGGAAGATACGGAGTTCCTGGGAACTCGGTGAACTGCAAAGTCCGCACGGCCACCGGGTGGCGCTGCTCTACCGCAATCGGCAACGCGATCCCTTCGGAAAGCTCCTAGGATGGGAAATTCTTCCATTTTCAGGACTGACCTGCGCACAACCTGGGTCTGGACGGAGAAAGGCCGGAGCTGCGCAGCGCAGAGAAAGAACCAGCGGGGTCCTGCTGCTCATTCCCTCCCTTTGCGGTCCGAGGCAAAGTCCTCGCGTCCGTCTTCCCGCTCCATCCCCACTGTCTCAGCAGACCTCACCAGGGGCAAAAAGGCTCTGCCCTCCGGAGAGGATTATGGGGGGGGCGGTCCTGCCTGTGAGCACCGTGGCAGGAGGGGCTGAGGACGGTGGGAACTGGCATCCTCGCACACCCTGCCAGTGCCAAGGACGGGGGACGGGCGCATGGGCCCGTGGGCTCTGGCCTAAGGACCAGGCAAGGGGTGACCAGTCCGGGGGGGCTGTGGATGAGGAGAGGCGGAGCTCACAGTGGCGGCAGCCAATTTCGGTGTTGTGGGGCGAGTCTGGGGCTTTGGGCGCCTGGCTCCCCCTCTTCCCACCTCCCAGCCACACCCACGGCAGGGTCGGGAGACTACCAGGAGATCCCGGGGAAGAAGGTCCTGGTTCATAGGAGGCAGCTGGTCCTCAAAGATCGATACATATTTATCCCATGGACCAGGCAATACCCACTGAGCTGTACACTCTAGTCACCCACCGCATACAGCTCTCAGTTGCAACCAAGCTATTGCAGCATTGGCTTGTGGTTTAGTGTTGCACGGACCCAGCCACGCTGGTTTATCAACCCTGTTTAGGCACGGGATGGCGTGTGAACACATTTGTGCTATAGACCATGGTTAAGCATGGCACAGCTTAGCATGACCTTTCTGGTTCCAGATGTGTCAGGGCTAAAACAAGGGCTGCGATTGATTTATCCTCCTGTTAAGGTGTTGGAGGTGTGCTGCAGAGCAGGATCTCAAATGACACACCATAAGGAGTCAGGAGTTTGTATATAAAGTTCGTTTTTATATAAAGAAAATCACTAGCCAACGTGAACTGTCATTGACGTTACTCTTAAAAAACCCTCACTGAGTGGGTCCCATATTCCTCAAATTCATGCAGTCTTCAACACATCCCTTTTTAATCTTGGTATACACTGCGTGCACAATTATTAGGCAAGTTGTATTTTTGAGGATGAATTTCATTATTGAACAACTACAGTGCTCTTGGTCAATCCAAAATGTTAATAAACCTCAAACCTGAATATTTAAGAAGTGTCTTCTAAAAACTGGCAGTAGGTTTGGGAGTTGATTTTGAGTCCATCTTCAACCCAGAAAGGTCCAACTAGCTCACCTGTAACAATACCAGCCCATACCAGTCCCCCCCCTCCACCCGGCTGGCGTCTGAGTCGAAGTGGAGCTCTGTGCCCGTTACTGATCCAGCCACGGGCCCATCCATCTGGTCCGTCAAGGGTCACTCTCATCTCATCAGTCCATCAACCCTTTGAAAAATCTGTCTTCGGATATTTCTTGGCCCAGTCTTGCCGTTTCAAATCATGTGTCTTGTTCTGTGGTGGTCGAGTTTCAGCCTTCCTTCCCTTGGCCATGTCTCTGAGCACTGAACCCCTTGCACTTCTGGGCACTCCAGGAAGGCTGCAGTTCTGGAACATGGCAGCGCTGGAGGATAATGGGTTCCTGGTAGCTTCACCTTTGATTCTTCTCGAATCTCTGGCAGTTAATTTCTGTCTTTTTTTCTTAACACGTTTCTTGCGACCCTGTTGACTATTTGCAACAAAACGTTTGATGGTTCTGTGGTCACACCCCAATATCTTAGCGATTTCAAGAGTGCTGCATCCCCCTGAAAGACTTTTTACAATTTTTAACTTTTCAGAGTCAGTTAAATCTCTTTTTTGGCCCATTTTGCCAGAGGAAAAGAAGCTGCCTACTAATTATGCACACCTTGATGTAGGATGTTGACCTCCTTAGGCCACACCCTCCCTCATTACACAAACACACATCACCTGATATGCTTATATCCCATAAGCATTCAGGTTTCTACAGCTTGGAGGTGGAAAATGCGCATAAAAATGATCATATGGTCAACATACTCACTTGCCTAATAATTGTCCACATAGTGTATAGTCTATGGAGGGGTGATTCACTGGAAAGAACCCCATTTTTCCAGACCCCAATTGGACAATACAACATACAACTAAAACTATCTCATATAGTCACATATAGATGGAAAGGAAGCGGTGAGTTTCTTCAGTGATATTCAGCCCCACCAACTAAGATGCCTTGTTACGTATTTGACAACCCATCTAGAGAACTGGACCCCACTGAATCTGTTGTTTTTTATGAGTTTTTCAGAATTTCTAGCCCCCCTTTAAAGAGATTAACAGGGCTTCATTCCCATCATCTGGGTCACAAGGCACGTGTCCCCCCTGCCCCATGTACACCACGGTAATCATGGCTGTGGGGCAAGTGGACACAACGGGCTTGCCTTTTAGGCAGAAAGGAAGACGGGAGATCAGAGAAAGAAAGAGAAAAACAGGATGACAAAAGGAACTTTGGGGAAAGAATCCATTAAGAAACAGGGTGCAAAGTGAAGGGACAGGATGCGTTTCCCATATAGCTTTATGATGCTTGTCCAGGGGCCATATTGATTATTATGAACAGAAAGACAAGAAAGATCATCAAATACATAGAAAAAAATATTCTGGTAACAATGGCATCCTGTTCTCCAACGAACTGCAAGATCCGCTGTTCTAGATCAG